TGTTTATTTACTTAATCAATAAGTAGGTAATGAAATAAAAAAGATAATTTTAAAATTTAATTTACAAATAGGTACTTACATTGTAGTGATTACCTATTTACTAACGCCGAAACGAGAAAAATTAGATATTAAGTAAAATCAAACAAAATGTACCTAATCACGTAGGAAAAGGAGGGACTAGCTGTATCAACGCCCGGTCGAAAAATGCCCTAAAAACCTATAAACATCACGTAAAAAAGAAATTAATAAACAACAAATTTGGAATTAAGGAAATTCAGTTGTGAAATATGAAATATTTAAAACGCTAGTTTAATTGTAGTTTATCAAAGTCGTTTAGCATTGAGTTTTCATTATAAATCTTAGTCCACAAGGGCGCATTTTAAAGATTCGCACCGGGTGCAATATTTGATTGCTTCTTTCCTGCGTATAACAATACATTTTGACAATATCGAGCTTAATCTCTAATTAAACTCTTTAACTGGTCAAATATCTCGGATCGCTAATTCTTTGGTTCAAGTCCGGTTAAAACGTTAACCGAGCGATAGTTAAACTTTTCGCAGTTCAATAACCTAAGCCGGCGATTAAATATTAACAGGCGCCTAAACGAGACGCTCAACCGAAGATCGATAAATTGGAAAATCAAAAACTAATCTCCCTAATGCACCATCTAGAGAAAATTACCTTTCAGAAAAGGTGCTATAGTCTATACTTCGGAGCAAGTTTTCTGATAGAAAATTTGATCGCGTAGATCCCTGGATACGTTCCAAATCTAAAAAACACACATCATAATAAAACCAATGTATCCCTCGCTACGGTTCGAATTCAAACATTAAGTTAAGTTAATTAAACATTAAGTTGTGATACACGGCACGCGATTCGGACGTGCCAATTTATGTTTATTTTTTAGTTAGTACTCGATTCGGATGCACCGGTCGATACGTCAGGTTGTAATTAATTCGTTTGTTCGACAAAATCTTATAGTAACTGTATTATATTATATTACTAGGGTTGGGATTTCTAACATTTATACACATATTTTCAAAATATTAAAAATTTAGAAGAACCGAACAGAAATATTGTTCATCATGTAAGGGATTTAAATTCTAAATTCTATTTTACATATATTTGCATATTTTACAGTTTGTGCTTTTTGGAGCATATTTTAACAGTATAGGTATAATATTATAGCTTTTAAGTACCATATAAGTACCATAAGGACATACCACTGATACCTAATCTTATCCATTCGATTTAAATTATTAATGCGATAGCACAGTCGAATAGACACAATCATAAAATAGTTGTTATCATTAATGTAAACTAATATTTACTAATGTAAACGATAATTGCGTTTGAACAAAAACTATCAGACTACTCATTTCAAAACGCAATTAATAATAATTAGTAATAAATAGTATTGATAAATAAATAAGTTATACGTCAAGTTTTTAGTAGCGTATTTTAGTGCATATTCGGTTGTTTTTCAAATTATATTTGCACGTTTTTTAAAGCTAAAACTCCCTAAGCCTAATCACTACGATCGTTGTCAAGTGCCTAGCTGGTTAAAGGCGTACGTAAAACGTACAACATTTATTATTAGGTATACGAGTCGATCAGCATTATGGTCGGAAGCACTCAGCCTACGCCCGGTTGTCGTTTACATCTAACGGAATCGACGTGTGTACAATATTATAATCTTCAAATCTCTCTTTTTGTCCTCTGTATTCCAGGATGGATAGGACTATCCGTACTTTGGGACCTTTCCACTTCTTTCGGCAGAACGATAATTGAGCGTGTCCAACGTAAGTTTCTCGGTATCTAAGTTTCTACTGTTTTTCCCCCGTTTAAGCGCTTTTATTTAAAAAAAAAAAAAAAACCGCGTCGAAAGCCAATAGACGACCCGGTACTGAGTACCGTCGAAACGGCACGGGCCTTTAGTAAAGTCGCCGCGCGTAAAAACCGGAGCGAGTCCGTTGGGGAAAAAAAACGCGTCCGGCCGGGCCGGGACAACGGGACGCGGGAAAAGAACGGGAAACGAAACGGCGTTGTGAAACCAAATATGCTCCTCCCGCCCCCCCCTCCGCGCTACGCCCGGTAACTGAAATGCGAAAGCGCAACAACGTCGATGCGCTAACAACGACTGTTCGCGAATCGGACATAATGACAATTATCGTCCGCGGCGAAACGACGTCCGCGTTCGGCGTCGATCCGGCCGGATCGACGACGGCGCGTGCGGGAGCTCGCCGCCGTCCGTGCGCGACAATATGCATTATGTAACGTGCGTCGACGCAGGTGTAACCAAGCCGCCGTACGCCCGCGAACGGAGGCGAACGACAGTTTTCCGAGCCATTATTATATATTTTAAACCTAATTGTGTTTTTATACGTTTCTATATATATATGTATACACGAACGAATTGTTTTACTGCAAAAAATATTGCGCAACGGACGACGGCAATCCGTTCGCTAATTAAAGACGCGCGCCGGTCGCCCGTGCGGGCGGTCGCGCGTTTCGCCCGGCGCGCGCGGATTCGACACGGAACGCGACGCGGCTGCGCAAATCGATCGAGATCGCGTTCGCGTTCGTGGTGCCGGAAAACGTTTCGGTGTCGGGCAACGGCGTAACGGAACTGCCGCGCCGCGGTCCGCGCCCCGCACGCCCGCGGCGCGCGTCTCCGGTCCGTGGACGCGCCCGGGATCGGTTCCGTTTCGGCGGCACGACCGTCCGCGCGAATGGGTTTCCACCGAGACGGGACTTTCCGGACGCCGCGGGTTCGTACCGAACGCGGTCGCGGCGACGGGGGCGTTTGGCGCGTCGCCGCGATCGCGGGTCTCCCACTCCGGTAGGGTTTTTTGGCAAAGCGTCCTCTACACGCGATATTGTTGCACGCGTTCTATAAAAAGAAAACGTTTGCGACGCGACACGGACCCTACGAACGATTTTCGTCGGCGGTTAACAGAAACCCGCGGGGGTTTACGTTAAATAAAACACGCGCGTCTCGAACACAAATACACTCAGTGCGGCACAGTGTACGCAAATGTGTCTTGGCCGTGAAACGCGCGGTCCGAAATGGTGCGCGACGCGACACCGTCATAGCGGATCGCGAAACCGCATTAGCGCAGCGGATTATGAAAAATCGTGTTGAATGTTTCGGTGTCGCGTTCAGATTCAAGCCGGTGCAAATCGACGGCCTTTCAATTTACGTACTCATAATCTACGTATAATTTAAATAATTCGAATTTTAATTTTAATTTTTAGTCTACGGTTATAGTATTAAATACGTATTAATTATATATCTGTGTTAACCGACATTGGTAATACACTGCAGTACACAAGACAATATATTACAATGCAATCACGAGTCAAATACGAACAACGCTTAATAAAGTTCTACGACCGTGGTATTATCGAATAATATTGTAAATGTTTTAATCGTCGGTGCAACGTTCCGGATATTGCACTGCGATATAGACGGTATAGCGTACGAATTTCGTGATAACTATGATGAGTGCCCAACAAATTGTGATAACAAACAGTTCACGGGCCACAGGATAATGTATGAACGCCAAGAACGGTCCTCAATATAGTTTACTTTTTAACTGAATACCCATCAGTGTTAAACGGCAGTATGCAATGATAATAATACGTTTGATTTTATTTTTTGATAGATTATGTTTTATAATTATTGATAAGAAAAACGATATTATTATTGATTAGAAATTTGATCCAATATCGAAAATCGCGGTATATTATTATATTGTTTGACCTTCTAGATTCTGAGTGAAGCGAAAAAGCATATGGTTTTACAAAGATGTTTGTTTTTTTTTTTTTTTTTACCTATGCGTAGCTTTGCTACCAGAAATCTTGCTCCGATTTTTAAGTATAGCACCTTTTCTGAAAGGAAATCGGCGTGGGAAGGTCCTTTGAGACGGTCATACTTTGATTTTCCCAGGATTTTTATCTACAAATGGTAAAAACCGGTGGAAAAACTGGAAAATGTAATAAATGTAGGTATTGGTTAAAAATATTTCATCGAAAATTGTTGTCATGAGCATTAGTCCCGGGAAAGAAAAACTTTTTTATAGTCAAATTTGTCAATTTTGTATAGTTTTCAATACGAACAAATTACATTTCGATAATACATTCAGGTGAACACACACGTTTACTATAATACTACTTACACACATTTTTAAAATATATACATTTGTGCAATTTAGACCAAAGAATATCAGAATAAAATTTCATTAGACAAAATTATAATAAGAATTCGAAAAAAAAAAACGTTCTAGGGTAATGGATACGGGTGTAGCCGTTGTTACAGATAATTTAATGTATAGCGACGGTAGATAATCGCTTACGATTCTGAGCGGAGTTCAGTTGATAGTAATGCTTTGTCAACAATTTACATGTTATTTTATAGTAAAATAATTAAATAGGCTTTATATATATTTTTTTAATAATATTTGTTTAAAGTTGTACCGATTTTCCCAGTTTTCTAACGTTTTCCCAGGTTTCCCACGTTGTATCCCGGTTTTTCACATTTACTGGGAGAACTCATGGTTAAATCAAAAAATGACTACTTTAAAGTACCTCTGCGCGCTGATTTCCTTTCAGTAAAGGTGCTACACGTAGAAATCTGAGCAAGTCGTTTGATAGAAAAATTGCGCACTGATAAAAAAAAAAAAAAAAAAAACATCTTTGTAAAACCAAAAGCTTCTTCGCTCCACTCAGAATCTAAAATTGACTTGACTCGAACCCTTCTTTCCTGGGATCAAAGTAGTCGCTATACAAGTATTATAATAAAAATTACGTAAGATACAAAGTAAACAATTAATGTTAGTGACGTGGCCCCTCGCTATAATAATATATACGTCGTGCTGTACAATAATTATTAACGTAATTTTTTCGCCTATCTGAAAAAAAAAAAAAAAAAACAAAAAATAATAAAAACATTAATAATTATTATTGGAATAACAACGTCGTATATTATAGGTACTCACCGTTTTGTCATTATTGCGGCGTATTCACAACGGGTAGTAGTTTTTGAAGAGCGGTGCCGTGCCACTCGTGACAAACATACCGTGCGTCAATATGACGTTTTATTGGAATATTTTTTTTTTTAACATCGACGGTGTATACGTTGGTCTGTAAATGACATTGTACACCGAGTTAAAACCCCTGTATAATATCGTTGTCGTAATAGCCGCGAGTAGTCGACGGGTGCGCTCGACGGCGGCGGCGGCGAAAAGAACATCCATTTTCAATAATTAATATTGCAATTTACGCGGCTCGAGATGACGAATTTTCGTTATCTTGAACATTTTTTTTTAAAAAAAAAAAAAAAAAAAACCCCCCGCCGTACTAACCTACTCGTACGTTACTACTGCGGGTGTAATAAAACGTTACGCAACATACGGAATGATTATTAATCATTAGGTATTGTTATTGTTGTAATTGCCGTTATTGGTACGCCGTGTTATAAAAACTGCAACGGTCGATATGATAACGTTTCGAGGACACGGCCGTTTCGTTTTGATAACACGATAATATTATTATGTACGGTATGCGTAATAATTCCAAATAATATCGCGTTATTTCGTAATGACTTACCGCGCGGTATATTCGCGCTATAATTGCCAGTTGGTAACGCGGCGGTTACGTTAAACGATTTTTGTTGTTTTTTTTTTTTTATTATTATTATTTTAACGTTAAATTCCCGTATCGCGTTTTCAAGTTTACACTGATAACACCCGACAACGACGTACGGCCGTTGCCGTTGTCTCGAGATAACGCAATTCGCTTTATACGGAACTATACGCACAAATGGGTATTACAAGTTTAAAATAATATTATACGGCTGTGATAACAACATTATATTATCCGTCGTTATAATTTACCTACCGTTGAATCGTTCGCGAACACTTACCCGACCCCGTATTATTACACGCGGCCCGCCTGCAATAATAAAAAAACACGCACGGTACGTACAAATAATAAACTCTATACAATTAAATACCTGTATTTTCTAACATTTACATAACCGTTAAGTACGACCAAATTCACGACTATGCATCCACCGGCATCTGCTGTTGTATGTTAACGCTTTACTCGTGAAATTTGATACACGCACTAACACAGAAGCCGTGTACACGTGTGCCTGGGGGGCCCGAGCACATGTGATGATTATTGATAAGAAATTTGCTCCGATATCGAAAACCACGGTGTAATATTCTTGTGTTGTTTGACCTTTCGGGCTGCGAGTGGAGCGAAGAAGCTTGTGGTTATACAATGATGTTTATTTTTTTTATTTTTTCAATAAATTGTAAAAAAACACGGGAAAACCGAAAAAACGGGAAAATAGGTACATTGTTAGAAAAATATTGTTAAAGAATATGTTTGATGCACATGTAATTGTTTTACCGTATTATGACACATTATATACTGTTGACAAATCAACACTATCAACTAAACTCCGCTCAGAATCGTTTTTTCGTTAGTAATAGTTTATCGTTGCTTACAGATATACTATATATATAATTCCAGTCAATATCCTATCTTTCAAACTTCCCAACGGGCTGCACGCGTTCCCATTATCTTAGGACAACATTTTTTTTTTTTTTTGCTATTATCGTCCTTTGACGTGGCTGGTTTTTGGGCACCCCTTGAAATTGAGAAAACCCGGTGACCACAGTAACTCGCCTTGTTTTGACCGGCAGTAAGATGATGTACAAATTGGCAAATCGGGAAGTAGTATAGTAGGAAACGCCAAAAGTGCAGTTAGCACCGCAAATGGGAGGGGGGCCATACACACGCGTAACGTGTTCAAAAATTAAAAACTAGACGCATAATTTAGTTCAGTATTATAGCAACGTAATTAACATAGTAAGTATGTTTATACATACAGGTACAACCAAGTTGAACATCATATACGCATACACGCCAATAAAAGAATAAATTACAATATTTTTATTCACACGGAGCAAAAAAAAATTTCAAATGGATATTGATAATTCAAAAAACGCAATATATTTTTGAAATTTCGCCGCGTCCAAAAACTATGAATATAAATGTTGTGTAAAAATGTCAGGCCTCTACGATTAGTTCTTCCTGAATGACAACAAAACCCAAATTGAAATTAACAGAATCCACGTATACTATAATGAGTAAATATTTCAATTTTTCTGACCGGTTTTCCGGGTTTTATTAAAAGAGAACCATAAGGAATATCAAAAAAAATCACCTCATTAAATGCAACCAATTGTACGAAATTCGCCACTATTTTTGGCGAAAAAAAAAACACATATATTATAAAGTCTCATACTCATATCATAGTAAAACCGCAATACAATCCTAGCTACGTTCGAAATCTTAAAAATATATCACATTTCCATCCTACTATTGTGAATTATGACCTCTGCACCTACACGTGTCTCGTCGTACTGTTTTGGAATTTTTAAAAAAATATGAGAAATGTTTATGTTATTTTTGACATTTTTTTGAAGGGGAAGAGCGTTGGCTTTTTGGCTATAGGGATTTTGTGAATCATTGGTAATACTGCAGACGGGTAATGTAAAATTAACAACAATATATCCATACATAATATATTATGCATTCAAAATAATAAAAACGTATTTCGTTCAACATTAAGTATTAGTAGCTATACGAGTATTGTCATAATATAATATTGGCCTTAAGTATACAAATCAGGCGATTGATTTATTTTACTACTATATTTTTTCAAATCTATACAAAAAAACCGCTCAATAATGAAAAATAAAAACAATTTTTGTCAAGACTTTTTTTAAGAGCTTTTTTTATAGATTTTAAGTGCAATAAATCCCGAGCCCTAATTTATATTAACGAATAATAAAAAAAAAAAATCTATTTAAAACGATAAATAATCTTTAAAGATGCTGCAATAGAAAAAAAAAAAAAAAAAAAAAAAAAAACATTTGCGGGTACTTTACTTTCAACTTTTAATATATCGAACATAAATCCCGACCGGTGGTATGGATAATAATTATCTTTTTTTTTTTTTTTTTTCCAACTTATAAATTATATCGAAGGAATTTCATCAAGTCAGATTTTATCGACAATATATAATAAATTCTCATAATAATAATGATAATAACAGTATACCTACCCAGCCTGGAAAAACGTTAATCTTTTAATTTTCACGAATGCCGTATACCTATACGGTCTTGGAACTAATGTGTACCTGCCGCGCATTACGCGCATACCGTATAGCGGTTTAACAGTCACGAACGTTCGAGATATTTAGTGGTATCGTACGTTATAGAAAAAAGAAATTAAAATCGCGTCCAATTCTGCGTAATGCGTTCAATAATGACAATCACAATAACATAGGTTACCTATTCACACGACCCACGGTATATTCGTAGCGTTACACGTACGCTGTTCACTGACGGTGGAAAATGATGTTCACGTATAAATACATAAAGACGTATTTGCGCGTATCGTGTAACGCGGACGTCGTTGATGTTTTGAAAGCCGTTCTTTGAAAAACGATTCCAAAACTATATAGGGGAAAAAAAGAAGCCAAATCCTAGTCACTTGAGTGGCCTGATTGCTTTACGGGAAACCCCTAACGCCTTTTAGAATCATCCGGATTATTATGTTTGTTAATGTCAGGAAGAAGACTTCCGGCAGACCGCGTTAAACTCGATTTTTCAATATTTTCATATCAAACATTTATTTATTTTAATTATTGACGGAAAAATACTCAATTTGCAAAATAATCTCTATAAAAATACATAATGTAGCATAAAGATTAACTTTAAAATCCAATAGCTTAAAAAAAAAAAAACAAAAAAACCCGATGCACCGACATTTTTTGTTAGTTTTTACTTTTTTTTTTTTAATCTTATAGAAAAACTGTTGGAAGTCTAGACATTTTTTCCGATAAATTACTAAAGGGCAAAACACGAAAATTCGGAGCATTTTTACTAAGTGGAAAGTATTTTCCAAGAATAAAACACACGTCATAGCTGTAAATACACCCGGAATCTAAAATAATACATTGTCCTCTCCCTTTTGATTTTTGCAGTGGAATTCAGCAAAAAAATCACAATTTTGGACGATAATTAATACATTGTTAAGTAGTTAGTTAAATTACGCCTACTGAACAGTATCGGGCAATTGAAACCCGTATAAGAGAAAATTAATTTGATTTTACAATTTTATACCTCGTCGGTGTACCTATTGTGTGGTTAAATCCATTACAAGATTAAATTGATAATCACATAAATTATGATAATATTACAATATAGTTTATTTCTCGGTTTATTTTTTATTTATTTTAATATTTCGATGGTATTTGAAGGTTACCATTACTATAGAGCGTTTAAAGTCCAACAATTAATAATCGGAAAAAAATTCAGTCGACTTTTAATTTTGAATATTTTTACTATTTATTTAGCTTTTAAACCTCACATGATGTCCGACCGGATCCGTCTAAACGAGCCCGAGCCGCGCATACCAATAGGTTGGTAGGTAGGTACAGTTTTTCTTCCACAAGTCCCATAAACTGCTACCGACAAACCTATTACTATGTAACCAAACTATAACACTATTAAAATATGTTAGCCCAACCAACAATATTGAACAATGCAAACAATTAAATATTATCAATAATAACCGTATACCTACCACTGAACCGAGACTGTGCAGCATGGGATGTAATAACAAATATTAGTTTGTACTTACTCGTACGGCTATCGAAAGAGATTATTATTTACCGAAAAGAGCTGATAACAAAAAAAATACTTTAGTGATCGTGTGATCTTTAAGACCGTAAACATATTATTATCTTCCCGATACTATAATATTCTTGGGGGGGCTTGAAACTTGGTGATTGGAAAATATAGGTAATTTAACTTAAAAATACATTAGTATTTAATACAATAATTATTCAAAGTTAAATCACCTCTATTTCTGATTAATTAGGCTCTTTTCATATGTTTTATACATTTTATCATAATATATTATTACTATCCGAGTCACATAAATACAAATACCATAGAACATACTTAAAATTATAATAAGTTAGGTAGGTATTATACATTAAACAAATAAATAAAATGCCTTGGTAAATGGAATGTTCTCTGCGAAATAAGAATTATTTACGAATACGTTAACGCTATCTAGCGGTGAAAGTAGCAAACTATTATAGCGGAACGTAACAAAAATGCTTTGATATAATTTTTTTTTTTTTATTTGATTTCACTACAAATCGGGTGTTTTAAAATTATTCTGAAAAGCTGATTTATCACT